GCGCGATCTCGGGAATGCAATCGCCAGACTCCCTTAGCTTGGACGAAAACCTGACCAAGGTCTTTCGTTCTGCACAACAAGCTTTGTCAGGGTCAAGACCCATCACACTCCCGCGCCCCACTGATACATTGTGGATTGTCACGGACGGTTCCGTCAAACAACGTGGTCTCGGTGCTACATTATACATCACTCGCGACAATGGCCTACACCTTGCAGGTTTCTTCAGCGCCAAACTTCGCAAGCATCAGATTCAATGGTTACCGTGCGAAGTCGAGGCNGTGGTATCCTATTCCGTGAGACAAACATCCTCCTACGTCCTTCGGTCATCGGCCCCCGCCACCGTCGTCTGGCCCGGTGATTTCGTCGAAGTCACAGTACCTCCAGAGCTACGAGCCGAATCCACAATTGCCGTAGAGCCTACCCCCACCTCCTGGCTCCAACCACAACTGGTAGTCACCATAGACGGTAAAGCCCGCATAACGAACGACACCGACGAACCACAGGCCATTAGACGCCACGAACACATCTGCTTCGCCCGCCACACTACTCAAGATGTTCCAGTTATCAATCCTTCCCAAGTCCCTTCTCCCCCCTCGCAGCCAAAGGTCAACACTCCATACTCCCACGGCGTTCAGCTAGACCCCAACAACATTCTTGAAGACACAATTCGTGATCAGTTCCAACAAGCCTTGCTCAAGCATGACCGTGTATTTGGTCCGGACCTACCTGGCTACAATGGCGCCGCAGGTTCCATCGAAGCCCACGTGAACATGGGCCCCGTGGAACCCCCTCAACGCAAAGGTCGTCTCCCTTTGTACCCCCGCGATAAGTTGATCGAGCTACAGGAAAAGTTCGACGAGCTTGAAAAAGATCACGTTTTCTCCAAACCCGAGGAGGTCGACGTCCACGTAGAGTACTTGAATCCCTCATTTCTGGTTAAGAAGCCCTCCGGTGGCCATCGCCTCGTTACCGCCTTTGCCGACGTCGGTCGGTACAGCAAACCCCAACCTTCATTGATGCCAGACGTAGACTCTACCCTGCGTACTATTGCCCCTTGGAAGTTCATAGTCAAAACCGACCTTAGCCGTGCATTCTATCAGATTCCACTGGCTAAAGAATCTCGCAAATACTCCGGTGTCGCTACCCCTTTCCGGGGTATACGTGTCTATTGCAGATCAGCTATGGGTATACCCGGCTCTGAAACTGCACTGGAGGAGATGATGAGCCGCGTCCTCGGCGACTTCATACAGGAGGGACACGTCGCTAAAATAGCCGACGACCTATATTGTGGCTCCTCTTCACCCGAAGAGCTCTTACTTATGTGGACCCAAGTCCTCGACCAACTCGACAGATGTAATTTGCGGTTCTCTCCCTCAAAGACCGTCATTTGCCCTAACTCAACGACAGTCCTCGGATGAGTATGGTCACAAGGAACCCTATCTGCCAGTGCTCATCGTATCGCTGTCCTGTCTTCATGCCCTCTCCCTACAACTGTTCAGGACATGCGTTCATTCATTGGTTCATACAAGGTCCTCGGGCGAGTTCTACCTGACTGTGCCTCAATAATCGACCCTCTGGAAAGCGCGATCTCGGGAATGCAATCGCCAAACACCCTTAGCTTGGACGAAAGCCTGACCAAGGTCTTTCGTTCTGCACAACAAGCTTTGTCAGGGTCAAAACCCATCACACTCCCGCGCCCCACTGATACATTGTGGATTGTCACGGACTGTTCCGTCCAACAACGTGGCCTCGGTGCTACATTATACATCACTCGCGACAATGGTCTACACCTTGCAGGTAAACATCAGATTCAATGGTTACCCTGCGTAGTCGAGGCGTTAAGTATTGCAGCAGCTGTCAAGCACTTTAGCCCCCATATCACCCAATCTAGAAATCGCGCACACGTACTAACCGACAGCAAACCGTGTGTTCAAGCCGTGGAAAAACTCTGCAGAGGGGAGTTTTCCGCCAGCCCAAGAGTAACATCGTTCCTTACTACAGTTAGCCGCTTTCAAGTCACCCTGCAACACCTAGCAGGTTCTGCAAACCTCCCGTCAGACTTTGCCAGTCGAAACGCCCCAGATTGCTCGGAACCAAACTGTCAAATATGCTCTTTCATCAGTACGACCCAAGACTCTGTTGTCCGTGATGTGACCGTGCAAGACATAATTGATAACAACAAGCCTCTCCCCTACACTACCCGCTCCACATGGCGGGAAGTCCAAAATGGCTGCCCCGACCTACGACGCGTGCATGCACACTTAAAACAAGGCACCCGACCCTCCAAAAAACTCACCAACCTCAAAGACGTCAAGAGATACCTATTGCGTGAGTCTTATGACGTACGGGTAACGCGCGATTGCTCTTGGGAAATTGATGAAGAGTGTTCAATCGATCTTCGTCGTAAAAGGGATTTTGACCCTCGAGATGTCTAGAAAACGAATTATTTCTAGAGATAAAGGAGATAATTGCGTGCGTTAGCAGAAGGAATTGAATGGAGACGTCGATGTAAGGTTATCGGACGTTGTTGGAAGAGGGCGAGGACCTATTGTTGAGATCTTTCGTTCTAATCTGGCTGTGGAAAGTGATTAACTGTTGGGATGCATCGATCCACCTTCGCTGTGAATGGTTCGCCGAAAATTATGGTGTTGAACGGTGAGTTAAATAAATTAAAGATCGGAAAGAGAACAATTATTGTATTGATTTATTTAAGTAGAGAATAGCTAGAGTAGATGCATCCAATCTATTAATGTAGACAATACCTAGAGTAGATGTGAAACAATGAATAAAGCATAGAGCATATCAAAAGTTAAGTGGATTGAATTGTTCTGCATACTTTTACAATATAAAATAGATGTTATTAACAAAAAGACAGTTTTTGATGGTGATAGTGTGGAGAAAGCCCGCAAAAAAGGGAAGGCTATAAGTATAGAAATATAGTTATTGTACGATTATAACAAATTCGAGTTTTGAGAAGAATTATGCATAAAAATAAGTATAATGAGCAAGGCTAAAATACAATTATGAGTTAAAATGCAATAATGAGCTAAGATAAATTACAAAATTCTTTGAGATTATCAATGAAAAATGTCCAAAGATTATAATGAGGCAAGAATAAGGTAGATTCTTTAATAAATTACCTAAGAATTGTATACATAGTGGCTTTAATGGTAAACTACAGTCTCGAAATGGAATTAAAGTGTTAAGAAAAGAACATCAGGGATGTCTTCTCTATATTTATGAGAATTCTATTGCGATTTAGTTTAAAAGTAGCTTAAGGCACATAAATGTATAAGAATGTAATGATCATGTTGGAATCCATAAACTGTAAAAATTGAAATACAGAAAAAAAAAATTTAATGGCATTCAAATTTATTATTATTTGCTAATTTTTGTGTGTAAGAGCTTATTGGTGAGTAGCATGGTGTGCAGTTTGGTGGTGTTGCTGTCTGCTATGGTGAGTTTGGGGATATGCATGTTGTGGTATTTGTGTAGGATGTGGCGTACTATTTTGTCTGTTCGTGCATGCTTGTTGTATTTGCTGTGGTAGTAGATTGTAGATCTCTTAGTGGATTGGTTTGTTTTGGTGAGTCGTCGTCTGTTGTGATAGGGGTAAGGTAGCCAGGGTAAGAGTTTTTAGTGATTAGTTTGTTGGGGTAGTCAAGAGCGGTCAGTCGTAGAGAAAAGAGTTTGTGTATGAAGTCGTAGTCATTTTTGGTTTTTGATAGTCTGCTGTATCGTACAGTTTCAGTCTTGATGATGCCTGTGAAAATGTGTTGTGGGGGATTTGATGAGAAATGGGGGTACATGTATTTGTGATGGGGTTTTTGGTAAATTTGATGGTGAATTTTGTGATATAATATGGTGTGGTAATTGAGGGAAATTGTGAGGTCTAGGTAGTGAATGGAATGACAATTGGTGGTGAAAGTGATAGGGATTTGGGAAGGATATGTAGTGGATAAATGGTTAATGATATCTGTAATGTTGTTTTTGTCTGTGAACAAAAATCCGTCGTCGATGTATCTACAAAAAAGGAAAAGTCCAGTGGTGTTGCGTTCCGAAAAGAAAGTTAATTCCCTGAACAGCAAAACCAGGTCAGCGATTTGCTGGCTGTGGTAGCTGCCCACAGCAACGTAACCCCTTTGATTTGTTGGTAAACGTCCTGTCCTGAAAAGAAAAAGTTACCAAAGTGAAAGGAGAGATGGTAACAGAACTAAGAAAACTTCGCACTCATTTAAGGTAACGATGATCCAAAGAGAAATGGGACCCGCTCAAGAAAAGTTGCTACATACAATTGTGGGACGATAAAATAACCTACTAGAGCATCACTGCTTTGTCACGTTACGACCAGGCTTGATGGAAGGTTATGCGTTTAAAATCAGTCACTATGGCATGTTCCTATACCAAACAGTTTTTGAAAACACTTTTTACTTAGAACCCAATTTGTATGTCTTTAAAATATCCTCTCCAAAGTAATAAGACAAAACAAAAAAAAAAAAAAAACCAAGGCCGGGAGGCCAATTTTGACCTAAGGCTAAAAGAAACTTAGAATGAAATGAGAAATTAATATTCAAAAAAATAAATGGATTAATTAGTGAATCAATAATGACATTTTTAATCCTCAGTTTCAAAATTGAAGCAGGAAATATCTCTCTGAGGGTATTATAGTGTATAATAAAACAATAAAAAGTGTTGAAGACACGTCCTGATTGGCTACTCGTACTCCGAATATCCTTTACTGTTCACCCCTTTGCAGCTTGCGTTGGTTTTGTGCCCTAAATATTGTAATCGTTGCAGGTATAAATAATATAAAATCTTCTTTTTGTGCTATAATAACCCACCGTGTTACCATATACTTAATAAACAACTATTCACCTCGGTGTCGGTAACCAGCGGTGGATATTTACCGAGCTGCGAAGCACCGATAACCATCACCACTCCTGCAAATAATTGTTAAGTATTTGTTTTATATTGAGGCATTAACTTATTTCGCTAGTGTCGCAGACCACAGCATCAAATATATCAGCCTCGGTGGCACCCACAACAACTATTACAGTATCCAACAGCAGCATTAATAATGCAAACAGCTCTAACTGCTACTTTCCCCCGACCACCATGACCTCCTTGCATCCGAAGACGGAAGCCCCACGCACAGAGTCGACTCTCGAGCCCTCCTCAACTCCACAAGCTTGTCCTGCAAGCGGTGAGCCAACCAAGAAATCAAGTAAGTGAACTTAGCGATCCTCAGTGAACCCATTTTTTCCCTTCACCCTTTTCAAGATTTACCTATTCTGCATTCAATGTAGGGGTTACTTGTTACTCAATTCTATCCTTCAAAAAATACACCTTCACCGCTTTTACCTTCCAATGAAATAACCAGTGACAAAGGAGAAAAGCTCTAAGCGTTGACTTCGGTAAAATGGAAATATTTGTTTGATTTCCTGTTGTTAATGCCAGCTCAATTATAATGTTAATCATTTCTTTTTAATACCATTGGCCACTAAAATCTCAAGTGCCTACTCGTGGTAAAAGAAATTAATAAATGAAAAAAAGGCGGGAAGCAAACTAGCAAACAAAACATTATGAAGATAAGAAAAAACAGACAAACAAAAACAAAGGAAAATAAAACTAATTACAAAAGAAAAGCAAAAATTAAATCAAAGCAGTTCTTTAATTTCTATAGGCCATTACAAAATGAATCTTTAAGTTCGTTTTCTATGTGAGTAGATGCCTCTCCTCTACTCAAACGTCTCGTTCAATTCCATCGCCTCGTTTAGCCGGAGCGTTTTCTGAGTCCTTGCCCAACTGGCTTCAATGTACGCAATTGCTTCTGCCTTATTTCGTTGAAACGTTTTGGTCTGTTTCAAACCTTACGGACTTCTTATAATCGCCGTCAACATCATTCTCGGAGACCCAGGGGCTGTGAGTCGATTTCGAGTTAAGGGCAGACGAGCCCCTGGGGACATTGTCTTACAAGACTAGTTCGAAACGGTCGCAGTCGTTCTGGCATCTGATTGGTGCCAGAAAATCTTTGTTTTTCTGCCCAATCAGAGT